CCCCCCCCCCCCCCCTTCAGTTCATCTTCTTTAGTAGATCCTTAAAGATCTCGACTTAGCTATGAATTGCATTGCATGACAGAAGATTAACTGAGTGATTCCAATTCCAGAAGGTGCTAAAAATGGAATCCACAAAGTCCCAGAACATGAACAACAGTGTTTTTCCATTCAATGAACTGTTGAATCCCCAATTGATTCACTCAAACGACAAAAAAAGACCAATCCATTTCATAGTTCAGACAGAAACCATTAATGTAATTCGGAAAATTCAACAAATTTTCTCATTTCCTACTTTTTTTTTTCTGTGTGGCATTACATCAAACACTTTGATGCATGTGAGCGGCGGTACAATTAAAACAGTGAGGTCAAAACCCTGCGCCACTACCATGACTTTGTTGCGGTCTAAGCAAATAAAGAGAAGGAAAAAAGAAAGAAGACTTAGCTTTTTCTGATTCCCCGAACTCCATGGCATCAATCATGTCGAGAGAGAGGGCCCCTTTTCAGTGAGTTATATCGCACCACGAGTCATCATGATCAAGTACACCACCACTTGAATGAAATGGAAGCCTTCATGTGCTTGATTACGCTTCTATGCAGGCATTTTTTTCCAAAGGGTTTCATGATTTTCCTTCAAAATGAAGAATTTTCAGTGAATCACAGTTTGTCGTATTGATTTGTCAGCTTCAACTTGCTCAATTTTTTCTCTTTTTGGGTTTGTGGAGTTGAAACTTGAAAGAGATGAGGAGACGCCATTATTTGGAAATGAGAAATTGTTAGGACCATCAATTTTTTAAATAAACTAAACCCTAATTTCAAAAGTCATTAAAGCATTTTAAAAAAATTAAGAAAATCACCCAAATACAACCGCCCACCATGGGGTTCGAACCCATGACCACAAGGTTAGCTAGACGGGCTTCTATTTTTGAACGAAAAAAGAACAAAAATCGTAGGACAAATCGCCTCAATCCATATGAATGTGCAAAATCTTAGTACACATTCTCACCCACCATGGGGCTCGAACCCATGACTACAAGGTTAAGAGCCTTGTGCTCCACCAACTAAGCTAGACGGGCTTCTATTTTTACTCGAAAAAAGAACAAAAATCGTAGGACAAATCGCCTAGCTCAATCCACAATAGGAGCAAAATTTGGCTTGTGGTCTACAATTTATGAACGTGCATACTAAAAATCTTAGTAGACATTTTCACCCACCATGGGGTTCGAACCTATGACCACAAGGTTAAGAGCCTTGCGCTCTAACAACTAAGCTAGATGGGCTACAAATGACCTAACTCAATCCACAATAAAAGCAAAATTTGGCTTGTGGTCTTACCATTTATGAATGTGCCTACTAAAAATCTCAGAACACATTCTCGCCCACCATGGGGCTCGAACCCATGACCACAAGGTTAAGAGCCTTGCGCTCTACCAACTGAGCTAGACGGGCTTCTATTTTTGAACGAAAAAAGAACAAATCGCCTAGCTCAATCTACAAACCATTTATGAACGTGCAAAATCTCAGTACACATTCTCGCCCACCATGGGGCTCAAACCCATAACCATAAGGTTAAGAGCCTTGTGCTCTACCAACTGAGCTAGACAGACTTCTATTTTTAGATGAAAAAAGAAGAAAAATCGTACACAAATAGTCTAATTCAATAAGAATAAAATTTGGCTTTGTGAATCAATCCAAAATGCATTCGCCCACCGTGGGGCTCGAACCCACGACCACAAGGTTAAGAGCCTTGCGCTCTACCAACTGAGCTAGACGGGCTTCTTGTCCTAATAATTTAAGTTTAATAATTTCTATCAATTTCATCTGCCGACCTCTCCCTGCTCCAGCTGCAATTTAAGGTACAAAATGGAGTATCCATGACGACACTGTTCATTTTGATTAGCCCCACTCTTTGTCTTGCAGCAGGTTTGATATCTTCTATCATCATCGAAGCTCAAAAGGAGGAGATTCAATCATGAGTACGTTACTGCATCATTCTTCATTTATTTGAAATACAATTTAATTTCTCAAATTATCATATATCTGCCTACATGAGGTTTTCGTTCTTCTCATCCGTTTTTTAATTTCTCAAACTCGTTGAAACCGGTAACTTCGATCATATATATGTATTAGTTAGCTTCGATTGAATGTTTTATGTGTGAGACGCCACGATTGAGCGCCATTCAGATTATATTTTCGTTGAAGAAGTTGGATTTATAGGCAGGTAGAGGTTTAGTCAAACAATCTAGAATTTGATCGTAGGATTGTATGTACCTTATAGCTTAACAAAAGAGGAAGAGAGTGCTCAATTTGCACTACGATAGGGTTAAGAATATGCAGTAGGTGGTAAGGAGAGATTGGGGATCTTGTTCCTTATTTGTTAAATGCTGTTTGAGGGTTCCCACGGTAATCGTAAAATCCTTTTCCAAGCCTTTCTGAAGTCTATTGAAGACTTGTGTTGCAACCTCAAATCAAAATAAGTACTTGTACAACCAGCCAAAAAGAAGTAGATCAATAGAAAACTCACTCATACTAAGAATTGAGGTTCCTTTCAGCAGTTAGTAGTGTGTATTTGGTTGCTGGATTTTGATTGGATTTCTGCCACAGGATGTTCTGTTGTTGATTTTAGTAGCTCCATCATTTATGGGAGTTGAGTAATCTCATTTTTTGTAGGCCTTTGGAAGGCTCTAAAACTCAAAAGATAACAAGGGAAGGGAAAATTCTTAAATGTTGTTCGTTGAATTATTCTGACAGAGTACAATTATGTAGGCATGAATTCTCACAATTTTCCAGTTCTAACAGTTAGTTATCTAAGCAATCTCAACTAAATCCAAAGAGGATAAAGGCTTGGTTAGGATGTTGCAATCTGGGTTGAGGGAGGCAGAGGTTGAACACTGTAATAGTTCTTGCCAAGAACTAATCACAGACAAAGCAAGTGTTGGATCCCGCATCAGTTGGGTTGGGATGAGAACCGAAACATTAAGGTGTGGAAACCTCTCCCTATCAATGTTGGGGATGAGAATGAAGCCTTCTTTAAGGGTGTGGAAACCTAGTAGGATGCATGAAGCAAGTTTCTTGAATCAACTGTTGATTTTTCTTTAACTATTTTTCTAATTTAATGTATAATCTCGTTTTCCCAGAGCAAAAGCTTCTTAGATTACATCTCCCAAAAGCTCTTCAAGATCCCCTTTGGTTATATTTGATTAATTAACATGTTCTTCTTCCTTGAAGGTCAAATATTCAAATCCAGATGTAAAAATTGAGGTAAGAAAGTCATTGAAACGGTACAAGTAAAAATTAACATCTTCCTCTTCCTGGAATGGCAGTTTGAAGTACACAAGTTTTGGGTCTTAAATTATGATTACGAGAACAATTATGGTAAGCAAAATAAATATTAATAAAAGAAGGGTATAGTCGTGGCAACCAACTCAAATACCTTCTTGAAATCAATTATTTCAATACTAAAACAATAAAGCTAGAACAAAAAGGACTACAAGTACTCCCATGTCTTCTTAACCGTCTGTTTCTTTGTCATTTTAGAAGCATTTTCTGTGGACAATCGATGGCCCAGATTCGTCGTACTCTGCCTTTGCAATCCACATCTGCACCAAAACAAACAAGACAGCGATTAAGTATTATAAATAAGGGAACAACTGAAAGCATTTTGTGAAAGGCATTTTGTGAATGAATAATAGCAACCTGCTGGAAGGTACTCAGAGAAGCCAAGATGGAACCACCGATCCAGACACTGTATTTTCTCTCTGGAGGTGCCACCACCTTGATCTTCATGCTGCTTGGAGCCAATGCAGAGATTTCCTTGCTCATTCTATCGGCGATGCCCGTAAACATGGTCGAACCACCGGAGAGGACAATGTTGCCATACAGATCCTTCCTGATATCTACGTCGCACTTCATGATAGAATTATATGTGGTCTCATGAATACCTGCAGCTTCCATTCCGATCATGGATGGCTGGAAAAGAACTTCCGGGCATCTAAAACGTTCGGCGCCGATTGTGATGACTTGTCCATCAGGCAACTCATAGCTCTTTTCAACTGATGAACTGGTTTTGGATGTTTCAAGCTCCTGCTCGTAGTCAAGGGCAATATATGAAAGCTTTTCCTTCATATCCCTCACAATTTCCCGCTCTGCTGTGGTAGTGAATGAATATCCACGCTCCGTGAGAATTTTCATCAAGTTATCAGTAAGATCACGGCCAGCAAGGTCGAGTCGAAGAATGGCATGTGGAAGAGCATAACCCTCATAGATGGGAACTGTATGACTAACACCATCACCAGAGTCCATCACAATGCCTACAGAACAGAAAAGTAAGAAGATAGCAACACCAAATTAAGTTGGTAAGAGAATCAATCAAATCATGTCTGGAAGGGTTACCAGTCGTTCGACCACTGGCATAGAGTGAGAGGACAGCTTGAATAGCTACATACATGGCAGGAGTGTTGAATGTCTCAAACATGATTTGTGTCATCTTTTCACGGTTAGCTTTGGGGTTAAGAGGAGCCTCAGTTAGGAGTACAGGATGCTCCTCTGGGGCAACACGAAGCTCATTATAGAAGGTGTGATGCCAGATTTTTTCCATGTCATCCCAGTTGCTCACAATACCATGCTCAATTGGGTATTTCAGGGTCAAAATACCACGCTTGGATTGAGCCTCATCACCAACATAAGCATCTTTCTGGCCCATGCCAACCATCACACCCGTGTGACGAGGACGACCGACGATGCTAGGGAAGACTGCCCGGGGAGCATCATCCCCAGCAAATCCAGCCTAAACACAAAGAAGAAAAAGGTATTAAACAGACATCATATAATTCATTGTCCTTTAGATTCGTTTTTTGGTTCTAGATTAGTGTACCTTAACCATTCCTGTTCCATTGTCGCACACAAGAGGCTGAATGTCCTCTGCATCTGCCATCTTTTATACCTGTTATAGAAAAAGTGCATAATATAAAGAGATGGAACAAGAAGGAAGAATGAGGAGAGTCGAAGAAGCAGCAAATAGTTGAACCTTTGAAAAATGAATGTGAGCAGCGGGAGAGACACAGAGAGGGACCGAGGAGAGAGGCTTCCAGGGCATAAATGAAAATGGGGGAATATAAAGATGGAAAAGGGATTGAATTTGGACCGTCCAAGCTTGCTTCTTGTGGAACTGACTGGATTTGCGACAGAGAGGGAGTGAGGGAGAGTTCGTTGGCCTCCGCTTCCTATTTCGCGGGTTAGTTATTTCTTCTTCAATTCATTTCCGACACAGAGGGATAGCTTTTGAAATTTTCTCCCCCCTATACTGAATTTCTCTCTCTCTCTCTCTCTCTCTCTCTCTCTCTTCTTTTTTTTTTTTTTTTTAATTTTTTATTATCAATTTAAGCATATCATTTAAAATATTATATCATCGACAAAGTGACCATGGTGTATCATATCTTCTTGTCGATGATATAACCAGTTAAAAATATTATATAATCGACAAAGTGGCTATAGTTAACACAAAAGTAACGTTATTGAGTTAAAAACAATTGTATTTTTTAGTTCTATGCTGAAAAATTGTATATTAATATTATATTTAGTTAAATTTAACTTTGATTGAATTGATTATCAAACATAGTTGAACTAATTACAAGGAAGAAAAAAAAAACTTTGATCAAATTGATATGATATACAATAGTGTCTTGAATATATTTTTAAGTGGGCAAAATATTATAATCTTGATTGAAAAGTCAAAAGTTCAAATATTTACACTCACGGGCTGAAAAAACACTATATCTATGATAAAGAACGATCTTTTATCAATTTCTGGTACCGTTCTGGAAACACTTTAAATTAAGTGTGTTAACTCATTTGGTAGAGAAAAAAATTCCATCAGAACAATAAATTTAGAAGCATCAACAATGTCACTACAAAGACAGCAGTTGAAAGAAGTGAAAAGAAAACATGCAGCCATCAGTCACCAAGAACTCACTAAACGCCGAAGCAAAACAAAACAAATCAAGAGGACCATTGTTCATAATGTTCAGACCACAACAAAGAACATAACTTAATTTAGCTCATTGAATGGATGCTGCGGCAGCTCATTCTTTCTTCTACAGAAATGGAGGAAGTATCACCCATCTGCGTGGATACTTCGGCCTTCCCTCCTTTCCATCAAACAGCTGCAGATACGAAACAAATGTTCAAATGAGAGGCAAAATCACTATAAAAAGCCTCTAGCAAGATCCAAACATGTGATGGGAAGCATAAGAGAGATGTGTAGAACAAGGGAATCGCACGTTTCGAGTTTAGAGGTGATTTTAACACAGTATAAGTTAGACGATACCTTCTTGAGGCGACGGTGCTTTGCGAGGGCCCAGTTCGTCATGATAAGAGTAGCAACCACAAGAAAGACATAACCAGCAACAGTCTGTGTAGCTATATTGAAGCCTACCCACTGATATATCTCTGTTGTGTAATTTGCACATGTCACAATGTTGAACAGAAACCCCTTAGGGATTTGATATCCACCACTGCCCTCAGGGCTCCGCAGTTTTCTCAGCAAGATATGACAGTAGAAGTTCGACACTTGACACACCAAACCAAATGCAAACCCAATCTTCATTTGAAGGTCACTAACAGGGGTATAAAGTGGGTGATTCACATAATATGCAATATACGAGCCAAACGACCAGTAGTAAGCACAGTTCCGAAACACATTTGAGAGCGGTGAGGTTGCGTGGCTGAACCTATGCACGAAAAATGTTTCCATGATCCGTTTGAAGTAATGAAAACACCAGTAGTACATTGCATACGTCTGAACCGGATGGATGATACGTTCTGCATTGTAGCCAAAGAGCTGATATACAGGGAAGTAGTAAAAGATGGGGTAGAGGATCAAGGGACCTAAGTATTCCCAGAAAAAGAGTGTACGATACGAAACTTGTGGGCCTAAGTCCTTGAAGACGACCGATATGTTGTCCGAGTTGTCGCTACAATATTCTCTAAGGCTTTTCTTGTAGTTAAGAACAGTAGGCCTCTCCTTTGAACCAGGTTGAACAGGAAGAGTTAACCTTTGCCGAGCAGGGTAGAACTTTTTGGCTGTTTAAAGAATGAAACAAGGAAATCATATAGCTGCACTTTACATAAAGAAATGCTATCGATTTTACATGCATACGTCCTAATAAGAAGTGGTAACAGTAATAACAATATAAGGTAAAAATATCAAATGTTTAACGGTCCGAGCCTACTACTAGCAGATATAGCTTCTTTGAGCTTTCTCTTTCGGGCTTCCCCTCAAAGTTTTTAAAACGCATCTATTAGGGAGAGGTTTTCACACCCTTATAAAGAATGTTTCGTTCTCCTCCCCAATTGATATGGGATCTCACAATCCACCCCCCTTTGGGACCCAGCGTCCTTGCTGACACATTGCCGCATGTCCACCCCTTTCGGGGCTCAACCTCTTCGCTAGCACATTGCCCGATGTCTGGCTCTAATACCATTTGTAACAATCCAAGCTCACTACTAGCAGATATTGTCCTCTTTGGGCTTCCCCTCAAGTTTTTAAAATGCGTCTATCTACTAGGGAGAGGTTTCCACACTCTTATAAAGAATGTTTCGTTCTCCTCTCCCACTAACGTGATTTCAAGTCTTAATTGTTTTAGATTTCTTTTTGTTTTTCTTCCTTATAAAACTCAGTGGAGTGGAGGATTCCATCCACAGTAAATGTCATGAAGGTACTTTATGTTTAATCTTAGCAGACAACAACAAGAGAGCCATGTGGAAGACGAATCGAAGGAGGAAGCCAAGACGCCAAGTTCAGATTCCATTGAGCCTGAACCTGTCAGTTCTGTAGCCAAGACGCTAGAGAACCGAAAATTCTATGCAATATAATCAAGAACGATGAACATACAGTTGGAAAAAGGCAGAAAAGACCAGCATACTTAGTAACAACGTTTTAATTCCTCAACAATTCCACACCCAAAAGCTTAAACTGCCAGGCTAGTATAAACTTAATCTTTTAAGATTCATCCATGGCATATCAGCAACCAAAACATAGCTCAACTAATTAACATATATGTTGTTGAACTAAAAGAAAATGAATCTGCAAACTCCAGTTCTGTCATTTACTTCAATAAACATGCAAATCTAAGGTAATAAGAGCATGTATGCAGCAATTAAAGGAACCATTCTACTAGCTTACACTCACTTCGCTTATAAATCGCATCCTGTAGATCAGCCACCGAAGCCTGCAAAACACAAAACGAAAATTTCCATTAAACTCAAAGTCCCATATTCTTCTCGTCCTGTCTACTTTTCCAAGAATCGAGAAGGGAAGTGGGAAAGAAACAGTAATTCAATCAAATTCCAAACACTTACAGAGTCGCTCAGTTGAATGCCCCCCTTAACAACCTCTCTCCCACTGCGAGAAACCACCGAGACCTTCATTTTCGCAGCCAATTTAGAGAACCAGCTGGGCAAGTAAGCCTAATTTTTAAAACCCAGATCCCGAAAGAGCAGAACAAGAACACCCAGAACCAAACAATGGTTATGTGATGAGATCCCAAGTGGGTTTTAATTGAAAAATGACGAAAGTTTGAGGGTTTGAAGTGGGAGGTTGGGAAGTAGGATATTAAATGGGGTGCAGTTGGGGTAGGAGAGCTAATTCCGATGAACCGTGCCGCTAATCATCTCCTTATTACACAAATCAACACATCGTTCAATCTGGAAGGCTGGCGGCCGACAACCAACTGAAGAAATTTATGAGGATGGGATGAACGGGAACCTAAATTCTTAATTGCAGCAAAATTTTGGTATGGCTTAGTGAATTTGTGGCTGTGTCATCACTCCAAAAATCTAGAAGAGCAAATGGTAAGTGTAGAGAAAATATCTATAAGCATCCAACCTCATTTATAGTCAGCCCACCTTGCATTTATGCAAAGAGTATATTGATGAACTTAAAAGGGGTTTCGTTTAAAGTTAGAAAAATATTAGAAAATTTGAGATTTGATCGAAATTGGGTTAAGAGTAATAACAATTTTCATATAAGACGGGTCGATTAAGCGAAGGAAAGTTTAAACATTATTTAAAATTTAGGTCATATTTGATTTGGGCCAATTTTGGGAGATTGGTGCCGAGCTGGGCCGAGGGAAGTTGGCGGGCAGATTGAATTGCGGAACCCTATGTAGCGTGATGTATTTGGGAGTCTCCCGAGTCATTTTACGGGGAATTGAAATCTTGGTGGTGGGTGTTGAGCTGAATCATGGCTCGGAAATTCGGCGGTGGGTTGCGCCCGACTGGAACTCCCTCAGTGGGTTGGTCCTTTGTCGTCGTCGTCTCTTCGCTTCTCGCCGGCGCCTCCATCGTCCACAACATCTACAAACCAAATCTTGTACGCTCCCTCTTTCTCTCTCAATCTGTTCTGTGCATATATCCGTAGAGCGACTCTTTGATGATTTTTCATTGTCGGAAATATAGTCATGTGTCTGTCGATTGGTGGTTTGCCATGCCTGTAACCTGTTCGATGAAACGCCCACCTTGTATTTTGTGCCTATTGTTTTCTTCTTTGATTATGAGCTTTCATTCTCTGTTTTTGATCAATGGGGGGTTCGGAAAAATTGTCCTGCTATGTTTTCTTGATATTAGATATCAATTTCAACTTCTGAGTTTTTTCAGAAATCCATTTGGTACCGTTTGCAATTGAACTTGACAATGCCTGCAACCTGTTCGATGAAAGTCCACCTTGTAATTTATTCCCACTGCCTTCTTATCTGAGTATTAGCCTGTTATTTACTGCTTTTGATCAATGGGTTTAAGAAATCAAATATCAACTTTTTCCCTTTTTCCAGAAATTCCAAGGATCACCGATCCGTTCTCTATTTCTTGCTTTTCTTTTTTGTTAGCTGTTCATAAAAAATTCAATCTTTTCTGTTCATACATTTTTGCTATCGTGTTGCTTCATCCATTTGTCTTGTAGTCTCCCAGTTTCTAACTTTTTATCGTTTTAATGTTCTTGTAGACCTTGCCTCCAGTGGATGGCGTCCAAGCGACCAGCAAGAAAGACCATGTTTAAAATCAATTACTTTATAACTTCATTTCTTTTCAGTTTTCAGAAACATGTTTCTGTTATCGTTGAGCTCATATTGTTTTTCCGCACGTTTTGGTGTGAAAGTTCTCTACGGTTCGGAATGGAACAATGGAGTGTTTGAGGGAGATTCATCTCCAGAGCTTCAAGCGTTGTAAAATTCACGCGTTATAACTAGTGCATTCTCCCTTTTGTTACTGTGATTCTTTATAATTCACAGCTGCTGCTTTACCTTGTTCAAGAAAAGAGTGACTTCACCTTTTACATCGTTCAATCAAAGAGATAGTGAAACCCATATTTACAAGGTTGAGGATTTCATTGACTCGTATTTTTGTTCATGTTCAGGATTTTGTTCGTTTACTCGACTGTAAAGTTCAGGTCAAGTAATAGAAGTTCAGGAAGAAGATGAGTTAGAAAGGTTTAGGAGAATTAACGGTCTTGCCTACGAGTGGTATGACAATTTCAAGTCCGGGTTCGTATCAAGCTGGAAACAGATGCAAAGGGTCTAGGCAAACACTCGGATTAGCAGATCCGCTTAAGAAGCAAATCAAACCAAAAAGCCTTCAAGCTCCCCAAATGACTTCCCTAGATGACTTCCCTGCTCTTCCTGCAATCTTCTCAATCCACATAGTCACAATTCTCTCTCTTTAAGGTATCACAAAGAAATGGCGATCAATCCAAGCCATCCAGAGCATGAACTGTAGCCGAAGTTGTACCTGAAACCTTACACCTGCAAAGGGTGCATGGAAAGGTGGGATTTCGATCTTAACAAAGCCTGTATGGTTACCAAACACAAAATTCACCTTAAAATTCCTTAGAACCCCACCGAGAGCCTGCCACCACGGGGATGCAAAGGGAACTGCGACGCCTGCAAAAAGCCAATCTATGGCTTTGTGTACCACTGCGAGAAAGACAACTTGGATCCCCACCCCTGCTGCCCAGAACTCAAAGGGAAGTGCATGTGGTGCAAGAGGAAGAGGCTTAAAGAGTTTATAAATGAGAGATATAAGGAACTCTCATTGCTGCTGTCCAATCACCTATCCCTTCCTTTTCCCCTCAAAAGCTTCCGACCTTTCTATTAAGAGGATATTTTGCCGTGATAATTAGTTAGAATATATCTCAGATATTTAGGGAGTTGTTAGTATAGATTTTATTAACCGTATATTTTATTTATTTACCAAATTTAGTTAGATATATATTTTTTCTATTTTTAGGTATTAGTTGATAGTTTGTATCCTATTTAAACGTGGTAAACCTGAATGAAGAATATACTTTCGATCCCAATTCTATTTCTATTTCTCATTCTTAACATGGTATCAGAGCACCGATCTTGGTGTTCTTAAATATCAAAATTTCCTTTATGGCGGAATCAGCCAAATCCAGCTTCAAAATTTCGGATGTTGATTTAACACATCCGTACTATATTCATCACTCTGATCAGCCAGGATATTCACTTGTTCCAATCAAATTAAATGGAGCAAATTACCAATCCTGGAGTAAATCAGTTATGCATGCTCTTATTGCCAAGAAGAAAATTGGCTTCATTGATGGCACAATTGAGGAACCGTCCCAAGATGCAAATTCAACCGAATTCGAACTCTGGAATCAGTGCAACAGTATGATAATATCTTGGTTAACTCATTCCGTTGAAGCAGATATCGCTAAAGGCATTATTCACGCCAAGACAGCTCATCAAGTGTGGGTTGATCTTCACGATCAATTCTCACAAAAGAATGCTCCAGCAATTTTTCAAATACAAAACTCGATAGCAACGATGTCACAAGGAACCATGGCGCTGTCAACATATTTCACCAAGCTCAAAGCACTTTGGGATGAACTGGAAGCGTACCGCACACCATTTACCTGTAATCAACGTCAAATACATATTGATCAACGCGAAGAAGACAAGTTGATGCAATTGCTCATGGGGCTTAATCAGTCTTATAAAACGGTGAGATCTAACATATTGATGATGTCTCCATTACCTAATGTGAGGCAAGCCTATTCATTACTTGTACAAGAAGAGATGCAGCGTCAGGTAACTTT